GATGAGAAAATCTTCTAGAAAGATGACCTATGATCAGGGATCAGGATGACACTGGACATCCTCAATAGCAACACTGGAGGCTAAAAACAAGGAAGCTGTGTCTTCAGAGTCTGAGGAGAAGCAGGGGCACCTGGGTGGCTCAGTTGGTTAAGTGTCCAACTCTTGATCTCAGCTCAGGTCTTGATCTCTGGGTCATGAGTTCAAGTCCTGTGTTGGGCTCCATGCTGGATGTGGAGCCTACTTTTAAATAATAATAATAATAATAATAATAATAGTAATATAAAATCTGTGGAGAAGCCATTGCCCTTCTATAATCCATACCCAGTTACATGGAAACTTTTTAGACATGAGGGCTCCCCACATTTTACTTGCCATATGCTTTTTCTCAGGAAGACCACTCAAGAATGTGCTCCCCCAGAATGAAGGTCAGGATAATTAATGTGAGCTGCAACATTCAAATCACTGCCTTAGCTCATAAATGTCTGCCCTTCCAACATGGGTTGGCGGGGTGGGGGGTGGGGGGCTGCTTTACAGAGTCACCAAATATGCCAGCTCTTTGCCTGTTGCATCTGGACCCAGTCCCCAACCTGCCATGTGCTCCATTGCGGGAGGCCGCGAGATGGAAAACTACATTTCCCAGGCTCCCTTGCCGGCTGGCCTCTGACTAGATTCTGCTAATGGGAAGCACCAAGGAGAGATCCGAAGTCAGGATGGAAGAGAAGACATTTCCTGTTTCTGGCAGAGCCTTCGCTGGCTGGTGAGTCTGGGCTGGTTGTTTCTTGCTTATACACCCCAGTCTCCAAGAGGGGCTACAATAGCCTCCCTGACACAGCGGTTGTGCCTCTCCACCCTATCACCTTCCCTTCCTGCTCCTCTAGCCCTAGAGGTTCTAATCTCTGGACCGTCCCATCGTCCCCTGCATAATACTGTAGCCCTTTTTAACATGTTTGTGGCCATTGTCCCTTATTAAATGTCCTGCGTAATTACTTAAGAGTTCTGAGGTTTCCTGATGGACTGACAGCTCAGGCGACTAAGGCTCCACCATCTTGCGCTTGCACCACAGGAACACATGTCTTCCAAGGCGACACAGCAAGGGAGGTGTGAGATGGAGATGCCACGCCACCTCTTAAGTGCTTTAGCTTAGACATACAACAGGTCGCTTCCTTTCACAGTCCCCTGGCCAGAGGGATCATTTAACCCCACTTGAACTGCATGTAAGACTTGGGAATGTAGGGGAGCACTTGGCATATTTGGTGAGCACTAAGTGTCTCTATTATGACCTAATCAAGAAGGAGAAAGAAGTGGTGTGAGGTCACAGAGATTAATGCAGGAGAGAGAGAGAGAGAGAGAGAGAGAGAGAGAGAGACAAAGTCCCAGATGATGACATTAGGCCCCTGGGGCTGGCACCAGCACTCCACAAGGCCAACTGCCTAATTTGGATCCAACGGAAAGAGACTCCAGAAGGGATGTCTGGAAACAAAATGAAAACAAACAGATTTTCTGACTAGTTTGACCAGGCGGAAAGTTGGGTTCATAGGCATTTATAGAGCCGTAGGAGGATGTACAAAGACTTTTCAGGAGATTCTAAAAGTGAATCAAAGAAAATTTTAAAAAGGAAAAAAAAAAAGAGGAGAAATTAACTCCAGGAAGAACTAGGAGTTGTACAAGAAGGAAACAAATACAAATACTATTACCGGGCTCAGCAGTGAAAGATATTTACAGAGATGTAATTGGGGAAACAGTAAATGTGGATTTACTCCAAACTGTGATAAAACCTTATGGATAGGTGCAGTCCCGCCCTGCAGTTCCGCAGCTGACCACCAGGGTCCCTACGGACCCCACAAGTTAAGGGCACCGCGCCTAGCAGGACCGCCCCCTGTAGAGGTCAACTGCAATTTCAGGTGTCCCCAGGCTCCTGGCACTTCTGACCAACTGGCTACAAATTCAGGGATTCCTTTGACCTACTCAGGTTGGATAATAATGAACTAGATCAACTCACAGAATTCCAATAAGTGCTATACTTATAATTGCAGTTTTACCACAAAGGATAGAAAGCCAGACCAGCGCTGGTCCCTGAAGAGATCCAAGGTCTGGGAGAGTCCTGAACGTGCAACTTCCGTGTCCTCTTTCTGGAAACGGAGCACCTGTCACCAACCAGGAGGCTCGCCTGAACCTTGGGATCCACGGTTTTTATCGGTGTTTCATTACATTCATACGTTGATCGAATCATTGACCATGTGACTAACATCAATCTCTAGCCCCTGAGGTTGGGTTGACATCACCCAGCTCAGAGCCCCAACCCTGTAATCACATGGTTGGTCTTTTTGGTACAACCGGCCCCCAACCTGAAGCTAATCCAGCCCCCAGCCCCGAAGACATTCCTCTCACTGGAGAAATTCCAGGAGTGTGGAAGTTCTCTCACAGAAAGCTGGATAAAGACCAGACTGATTATTGTGGGCAGGACGTGGACATGTGTATGTGTGGCTTAAAGAGTTAAATCTGCATCCTCCAAAGTAGGCTGTCCATAGATCCACCCTAAAATGGAAAAACCAAGTAATAACACTATGAGCATGTTATTTAGAAATATGGCAAAGAGCACTAGGGTGGTTCAGTTGATTAAGTGTCCAATTTTGTCTCCCAGTGCATGGGTTCGAGCCCCGCAGTGTTCTCTGTGCTGACAGCTCAGAGCCTGGAGCCTGCTTCCAATTCTGTGTCTCCCTCTCTCTCTGCCCCTCTCTCGCTCTGTCTCTCTCCCTCTGAAAAATAAATAAACATTAAAAAAAATTTTTTTAAACATGGCAAAAAAATATCAGAAGAAAGTGGACTCAGAAGTGAGGAGACATTTTTGTTGTTGCTAAAGCCTTGTAGAACAATTTGACTTACTCAATTCGCTTTGTGTATTACCTGGATAAAAGTTAAAGGGAGAAAGAGGAAGAAAAAGGGTGGCTGCTGTTTGTGAGGTGCTCAACCATGGACGGGAGAAAGACTCTTCCGGATGGAGCTGTTGATGTGGGAAGACACCTGTGCAGGTTTTGATTATGTAAAGGCGAGCAAGGTGCCTGGTAAAGGAAACAGAGCCTGTGGAGGGATCAGAGAGGAAGCCGACCCAGAGGAAGGGGAACCAAGGGTGGTCGGTCTCCGCAGCCACAGATGTCCAAAGCCACCCAGAGGTGGGATAGCATGAGAGATTTGGTGACATGGAGGTCACTTCACTGGCGGCATGAGAGGCAGCTGTCCAGGTGGAGTGATGGGGCTGAAGCTAAGCTGGAGAGGGGGAAAGAGGGATAGGTAGAGGGAGATATGGACAGAACTGCAATGGGGCATCTTTCCAGGAAGTTTGGCTACCAAAGGCAGGAGAGAGAAGGGGCTGCCCATTTTTAAGACGGGAGAGCCCTGAGGATGAGCAAATGCTCTTGGAAAGAAGCCAGCGGAGAGAGAGGTTCAAGTTTAAAGGAGTGAGTGGATCATCTGGATGGTCTGGGTGTGAGGTCTCCTGGGAGGAAGGAGGAAGCGGCCTCCCAGGGGAGGGGAAGGTACACACTTGCCCGGCCAGAGGGGAGACACTCACTTAGCCTTCAACTCCTGACCAGCAGCGTGCTGTCCCTGTTCCCCAGATGCAAGGTCATAATTTGCCTCATTACCCAGCTGGGAGAGGTCATTGTGGGTCCAGAATTTTCTGCCTCCAAAGCTGGGCTCCTGCTGCACTTGTCCCCCCGAAGAGGCAGAGGTGGCCCTCTGTCCTCTGGAGCACCTAGTCTGGGGGTGAAGCTGCCAGAGAGAGGAGCTTTTCAGAGGAGGGCTGGAGGAGAAGCCCCAAACTCCATCGCCTGTGGAGCCAGAAAGTACCCAAAAATGGATGAATGGGGCCGCTAAGTGAGCACGGAGACAGTAAGGAGGGAAGACAAACTGTGTCCCTCTCAGGTGGGACTAACCCAGGCTCTACCCCAGGAACAGCTGTCCAAGGCCAGGTCTTTGGGGTTTTCAAGAGGATTGGAGTATTTTGATTCTAATGTGAACTCTCCAGGTTAGGACATCGCCGCAAAGCTGGTAGGATATGGATGGAGATGGTCAGGCTTCCCTGAGAAGGAGACCCCTGACCCAGGCAGGGGTCAGCTTGGTGTGCCCAGGGAGGCCTCTGCACTGGCCACGGGTTGGGGGCCTGGGGGGTACAGAGGTTGGGGGTGGCGAAGGGGGGCTTGATCACTGGCCTTGTGCACAGAGGGATGGAGTCAGGTTTACCCTTCAGTTAACAAAGTCTGGTCCTTTGGGGTCCCAGCCCACTGTCCCAACGGCCACAAATACCATGCCTCCGCTGCAGGCTTGCCTTTGCCTTCCTGGGCTCCAGGAGGTGGGGTTCAAGGTGCGGAGGGGGAGGCCTCTTTAGGGTCTGCTGGGGGTTGGAATGGGCCCTCCCCATCAGGTGAGCGTCATCTAATTGAGCGTTAATGAACCACAACTAGTACTCAGGCCAGGGGCGCCCTGAGGCCGCACGCGTCCCCCGGGCGGGGGTGGGGGTGACAGGACCTGGGCCTGGAGCCGCCCCGCCCCCCTCTTGCCAGCGACACTCTCGCAACCCCTGCGGGTGCGCGGCCGGGCTGGGAAGGGTTAAGCCCACCGAGCTCGCGGCGGCCTAGAGCGGCGGCGGCGGCGGCGGCGCGGGGGCCGGGGCGCGGGGCGCGCGCGGGTGGCGGGCGGGGGACAGGATGCGGATGCCGGGGGGACTTCCTGTGCCGGCCCCGCCGCCCCCGCCCCCGGCCCGGCCCGCCGCCCGCCGCCCGCAGCCCGCCGGACGCACGCTCGGGGGGGTCCGGGGGGGGGGCGGGCGAGCGAACCGGACCCCGAGCGGGCCGCCCCCCGCCCGCCGGCGCAGGGCACCTGTGGCCACAGGCCGACCCCGGCCGGACCCGGGCTGCCCCCGGCCGGGCGGAGACCGGTGTCGCCCGGCCCCCCGCCGACCTCGGACCGGCCCCCCCGCGCGGCCGGCCCCCAGCCTCCTCCCCACCCCCCTCTCCGGAGGGGGGGGGTGGCCCGACACCAACTTCTGCTCGCGAACTCCGTTCTGCCCCTTTCTTGACCCAGGGCGACCTCGGCAGCCCTGACAGCGACAGGCCCGCCGCCGCAGTGCCCAGAAAGGCCCCTGGGTGGCCCGGCGCCTCCCCGGCTCTTTCTGGATGGAGGCGCCTCAGGAAGGAGCCGGCTGACGCTTCGGCCTTCGCCTTCCAGCCGCGGCTGACCATGAGCGCACCTCCCCTAGTGCAGAGGCCGCTGTGAGGAGCAGGAAATGCTGCGCCAGGTGAGGCCCAGTGGGCGGGACAGACAGCCCGGCGAGCCTGAAGGGCGCTTCTCTTGGGGGCGCTTCCAGTCTTTGGGGCTGGAGCCCAAACGGAGACCTGGAGTTGACCTGTTAGGAGGGGTGGAGCGACTGATGTGGGGACACCTCTGCCGGAGCGGAGGGATGCAGGAGAGAGGTGGGGAACCCTCCAGAATTCAGGAGCCCCTGGGCCAGGGCTGGTTCCATGGGTTGCAGGTGCTCTGGCCTTGGAAGGCTGGCCAAGCCCCAAGAACAGTCTGGGAGGCGAGAGACCAGGAAGGGGAACAGGCTTGGCAGGGCTTTGAAGGGGGCCGTGGAATGTGAGTCATCTCTCTCTTCTCTGCAAACTTCCTCAAATGTCCCTTCTGGGACTCCAGCTTCCCTTCCTGGTGGAGCAGATGCACTGGTCTGCCCCTCAGCTGGGGCTGAGTGCGCCCCGCAGAATCCCAGAATTCGGGGATGGAGGGGCTGCCTCCCTGCGGGGCACCGAGCGGGCCCTGGGAGCGGAGCCTCCAGGCTGCCCTGTGCCTCCCTCCCCCAGCTATGGCTCCAACTAGCCTCCTTTCCAGCCTGGGGGTGGGGGAGTGGGGAGGCTGGCTCTGGGGGCCCAGGACGGAGGTGGAGGTCTTTATGGCAGTCAGTGCCCCCCGGGCCGGGGGCTCACAGCCCTCCTGCCCACCTGAACAGCTTCCTTCCTCCCTCTCAGCACAGCTGGCCCCCCAGAGTCTTGGTCTGAACGCTAGGATGGAGCTGGGCCCGGCGACGGAGACCTGTGTGCTGGAGCTTCTGTGTCTCCAAGATGGGGGCCCGGGGCCTGGCACCCTCTCAGGTGAGGGACTGGAGGGGGGTGGCTCCCACCTGGAGCCGGAGATAGTCCTCAGACCCTGCGGAGGATCTTTGGGCGGAGGGCCAGCCTGCTGTCTGCCAGGGCGCTCACCTGGCTGGGGGGAGGGGGGTGCAGGCTGCAGCTGTGCACAGCAGCCGACTTCAGCTGCCTGGAGTGACACCTGCAGGTTCCCCTCAGGGTTTTTGGCTGTATCAGGCTGGTGGTTTGCTGGTGACAGGCTCCCTGACGGTGCAGATATTCTCAGTCCATGCCCAGACCTCAGACACATGCTGGCTGTGAGCTACTGCTATTTCCCAGGCGGTCAGGCAGCCTCCACTGTCCCCGACCTGTCCGTGGCTCCAGACTCAAGTTCTCAGATTGAATTCAGGAGCTCTCTCCCTCTGCCCCTCGTACCTCAGGCATTGGCCCCCTCGCTTTTCTTTTTTCTGTGGCCTTCTCTGACCTTGTCTACTTTTCCTGACCCATGCTTCCATCCATCTTTCTCCCCTTTTGCCCAGAGGCAAACGTGGCCCTGCAGAACCTTCCAAGATGCCTTTTCCCTTTGGGACGCACTCTGGGGAAACTTTCTCTGGGGGTCGTGCTCCTAGGACCACTTTCCTCTGGGCTTTGAGGGCATGGACTGAGGGCTGGGCCAGGGTTGAGTAGCATGAAAAGGACCAAGGGAATTAGAGGGGCTGTGGAGGGAGCTGCGGCTCAACAAGGACTCTCCTGGCTCAAATGTTTAACGGGGGAAGTCTTGCGAGGGCACCACATGAGGTGACACTTAATAATATGTTCACTAAAAACATCGTTGTTTAAAATGCTGGCTTTGCTGTAAGAAGCCAGGACTGGCCACATGGCTGAGTGCTGTGCCAGAGATGTGAGGCCTCACACCGAGGCATGGTGTGTCCTTGCTGCTCCCAGAGGTGGCGGGAGGCCAGAGTGTCTCGGACCTTGAATTTGCTGGGGGGACAGGTTTTCATGGCCTTCTTTGCTCACCACCTGCATACTCCTAGATGGTGTGTGTATATGAGAAATGCATTCACTTGTCCATGAGCCTAAGCAAAGGTTATTAGGAATAGCTTTCTGAGGGGTGCCTGGGTGGCTCAGTTGCTTGAGTGTCCGACTAAGGCTCAGGTCATGATCTCACTGTTCGTGGGTTCGAGCCCCGCATCGGGCTCTGTGCTAACAGTCAGCTCAGAGCCTGGAGCCTGCTTCAGATTCTGTGTCTTCCTCTCTCTCTGACCCTCCCCTGCTCATGCTGTGTCTCTCTCTCAGAAATAAAACATTAAAAGACTTTTTAAAAAAGGAACAGCTTTCTGAAAGAAAGTTATTTGCACATGGATATTCCTTGGCCTTATGAAATCAATATAATCCTGGCCAAGTGGCCAGAAAGCAAAATTTTATAAAGTCGAACCTCTGCTTTCCGTTGCAAAACTGAAATACGAGGCTGTAGATAGAACAGATGTTGCAATCAGACTCGGAAACGGAGAGAGCCCTTTTGGATTTTCCGTGAACACAGTACGAATGCTCAAAATGAGAAAAGCGAGAGACAGACATGTGGATGTTGTGCAGAAAGTGAAATGTGACAACGGAGCGACTCTTATGTAGTGGGGCTTCCTCTACTCCTGTACAACACCGGGCCAGATGTTTCGCCCCTGGCATTCTCGCTGTGTCCCTGGGAAGGGGTTATCTCCTTTTGCAGACACGGAAACTCAGGTTTCCAGAGGTGATGTAAGTGGCCAGTCCCCGTGTTGACCCGGGGCTATGGAATTAGTCCTTTCCATTCCTGAGTAATAGTCTCAAAGGCTTCCAGTCTTCAGGCTGTTTCAAACGGAGCTAATTGTATCTTTGGTATTTCCAAACTGTTTGTTAGTTGGCAAACTCATTTCCTAACCCACAGGGAGATGGATTTTTGAAGCACCTACCAGGTTCTAGAGGAAGCGCCAGGGCCCTTCTGGCTTTGCCTGCGAAGCTGGAAGTGTGGGTACCCTGAAGCTGTCCTGGACAAGAGGGGCTCTGTGGCTGCAGGAGGTTGACAGCTGCTAAGGGGTAGAGTTAGGGCCTGAACGGAGGCCTTCCTGCTGGAAACTTTGTGCTCTCTCTGGCACCTCTGTGACTTTTAGAACCGCTAATGGTGATACTTCCAGGCGGCTTTACAGACATTCTTTATTATTTACAGAGAAGGCAAGTTTCACTTATGTAAGGCGTGACCCTAACTGGGGTCCGAGCTCAGCACGGGGTTGTGGCTTAGCTGTCCGAACGGCCTGTTGGTGGGTTCCCACTGGATGGTGATGAAGCATGAGAGACTTCCCAGGGAGAAGCCCCAGGCACCCAGGCTTGGTTACTGCCAAGATCCAAGTGAGGAGCCTGTGCGGAGGGAGGCCCAGAGGAGAGGTCGGACAGCCAGGGTCCAGAGTGCCGTGACCAGCAGTCCTTCAGGCGCATTTCTAGGCCAACGCCACACCCCTGGGCATTTCAGTTTCTGCCACGCTGCCATTGTCAACCGAGCCAGTGCTTTTGGGTCCCTGATGGGAACTCACAGTGTGTCCTAGCATGGCTGTCCATAGGGCAGGATGAGTGGGGAGGGCCAGGGGGTCTGCCCCTGAGATCTGCCCGCGGATCTTTCTCTCCTGGCTTCTTGCCATTCCCACTACAGGTGGCCGCGGTGGGAGTGAGAGTCAGGAGGAAGAAGAGGCTCAGGAGGACAGCAGCACACGGCAGCCAACAAGCTCAGCTCCGATGGGGGTCAGTGAAACAGCTGCAGAAGCACAGCAGGGGCTGCTGGAGTCGCAACTGCAGCAGGCAGAGCTGCAATCAGAGCTGCAACCACAGCTGCGGCAAGAGCAGCGACGACGAAACCAACCCCCTGGCCGGCAGCGGCAGCGGCAGCGGCAGAGGCAAGATGGCCAAAAGCAGCTGCCTCAACGACAGAAGCCCCTGCAGGAACATCCGCAGCCTGTGCCACCTCGGCGGCTGAAACCGCATCTGCAGCTGATGCCGCCACAGGAACAGTCACGGGAGCAGCACATGAAAGAGCAACACCTGTTGCAGCCACAGCAGAAACCATCAGGACAGCGCCGGCAGTTACAGGAGCAGCAGCAGCAGGAACCGCGGCAGCAGGAGCAGCAGGAGGAACAGTTCCAACAGCAGCACCTGCAGCAGCAGCAGGAACCGTTGCAGCAGCAGCAACAGTCACAGCAGCAGGAAGTGTTACAGCAGCAGCACCTGCAGCAGCAGGAACAGTTACAGCAGAAGCACCTGCAGCAGCAGCAACACCTGCAGCAGCAGCAGGAACAGGTGCAACAGCAGCACTTGCAGCAGCAGGAACAGGTGCAACAACAGCACCTGCAGCAGCAGCAGGAACAGGTACAACACCTGCAGCAGCAGCAGGAACAGGTGCAACAGCAGCACTTGCAGCAGCAGCAGGAACCGTTGCAACAACAGCACCTGCAACAGCAGCAGGAACAGGTACAACAACACCTGAAGCAGCAGCAGCAGGAACAGGTACAACAGCAGCACCTGCAGCAGCAGCAGGAACAGTTACAGCAGCAGCACCTGCAGCAGCAGCAGGAACAGTTACAGCAGCAGCAGCAGGAACAGGTACAACAGCAGCACCTGCAGCAGCAGCAGGAACAGTTACAGCAGCAGCACCTGCAGCAGCAGCAGGAACTGTTACAGCAGCAGCACCTGCAGCAGCAGCAGGAACAGTTACAGCAGCAGCAGCAGGAACAGGTACAACAGCAGCACCTGCAGCAGCAGCAGGAACAGTTACAGCAGCAGCACCTGCAGCAGCAGCAGGAACTGTTACAGCAGCAGCACCTGCAGCAGCAGCAGGAACTGTTACAGCAGCACCACCTGCAGCAGCAGCAGCAGCAGCAGGAACAGGTACAACAGCAGCACCTGCAGCAGCAGCAGGAACAGTTACAGCAGCAGCACCTGCAGCAGCAGCAGGAACTGTTACAGCAGCAGCACCTGCAGCAGCAGCAGGAACTGTTACAGCAGCACCACCTGCAGCAGCAGCAGCAGCAGCAGGAACAGGTACAACAGCAGCACCTGCAGCAGCAGCAGGAACAGTTACAGCAGCAGCACCTGCAGCAGCAGCAGGAACTGTTACAGCAGCAGCACCTGCAGCAGCAGCAGGAACTGTTACAGCAGCAGCACCTGCAGCAGCAGCAGCAGCAGCAGCAGGAACAGGTACAACAGCAGCACCTGCAGCAGCAGCAGGAACTGTTACAGCAGCAGCACCTGCAGCAGCAGCAGCAGCAGCAGCAGGAACAGGTACAACAGCAGCACCTGCAGCAGCAGCAGGAACTGTTACAGCAGCAGCACCTGCAGCAGCAGCAGGAACTGTTACAACAGCAGCTGTTGCAGCAGCAACAGTTAGAGCTGCAGCAGCAGCAGGAGCCGTTGCAGCAACAGCAGGAGCCCCGTCCGCTAGAACCAGATGAGGAGGAAGAGGTAGAGCTGGAGCTCATGCCAGTTGACCTGGGGTCGGAGCAGGAACTGGAGCAGCAGCAGCAGGAGCTGGAGCGGCAGCAGGAGCTGGAGAGGCAGCAGGAACAGCGGCAGCTGCAGCTCAAACTGCAGGAACAGCTGCAGCAGCTGGAGCAGCAGCTGGAGCAGCAGCAGCAGCAGCTGGAGCGGCAGCAGCTGGAGGAGCAGCAGGAGGTGCGCCTGGAGCTGACGCCGGTGGAACTGGGGGCCCAGCAGCAGGAGGTGCGGCTGGAGCTGACCCCTGTGCAGCCCGAGCTGCAGCTGGAGCTGGTGCCTGCCGCAGGGGGTGGCGGCGCTGCGGCCCCAGGGGCTCCAGCCGCTGTCGTGGTGGCGCCCCCGGGCTACGTGGTGTTGCAGGAGCTCATGGTGCTGCCGGCCGTGGCCGCGCCTGCCGTGGTGGCCATCCCGGGCCCCGCAGGCAGCGCGGCCCTGACTCCAGCCAGGCAGCGGCGGCGGCGGCGCGCCCGGGACCGGCCGACCATCTGCGGAGAGTGTGGCAAGGGCTTCAGCCGCAGCACGGACCTGGTGCGGCACCAGGCCACGCACACGGGCGAGCGGCCGCACCGCTGCGGCGAGTGCGGGAAGGGCTTCTCGCAGCACTCCAACCTGGTGACGCACCAGCGCATCCACACGGGCGAGAAGCCCTACGCCTGCTCCTACTGCGCCAAGCGCTTCAGCGAGAGCTCGGCGCTGGTGCAGCACCAGCGCACGCACACGGGCGAGCGGCCGTACGCCTGCGGCGACTGCGGCAAGCGCTTCAGCGTCTCATCCAACCTGTTGCGCCACCGGCGCACGCACTCGGGCGAGCGGCCCTACGTCTGCGAGGACTGTGGCGAGCGCTTCCGGCACAAGGTGCAGATCCGCCGCCACGAGCGCCAGCTGCACGGCGCCGGCCGATCGCGGGGCCTGGGCCTGCTCCGCAGCACGCGCGCGGCCACCGGCGGCCCCGCTCGCCCCGAGCAGGCGGCGGACAAGGCTCCGTGACGGCGGCCGGCGGGGAGGGGGTGGGTGGCGCGGGGTGGGGGTGCTGTCCCGCGGTGTGTGCGTGCCTCTTGGAAGCCGGCTGCGGAAGGGCCCCCGGCTCTGCCCCTGGTTAGCCCAGGGGAGGCCACGGTTACGCACGGACCCTTGGAGACGCTCCTCCAGAAAAGGCGCCGAGGCCAAAAGGCACAGGTGTTGCACATCAGGACAAACAGCACACTGCACAAATTCGTTATTGGGTACCGATCCGCGAGGAGTCTGCCAGGGCTCTTTCTAAAAGTGAGAGCCACAGGGGAGAAAAGAACTGCTAGTGACACGTGTGGCAGTTGGTGACATTTGACATGCATCGAACACTAACCAGGAAGGTAAATCTATGTGGTGAAATGCACACGAATAGGATTTGGTCCTGGTGAAAATTACTTCAAGGAAAAGAAATGGGGAGACAGTAAAGTTATCTGCACTTTGTAGAAACCCGATCAAGGCATTAAATTGTCCTCAATGGCATTTGCCTTGAAAGTAACTTCCTAGAATGAAATTTCATCAGGGTGGATATCATCCTGATTAAAACGTTTGTGTTCATAAGCACAGGGTCAGAGTGTCCCCTGGGTCAGTGCACAAATGCCGGGGAGCCCTTCTCTGGGTGGAAGGTAAAACTTCCCTCCAGGTCAACCCAGGGTTCCAGCAAGTGCGGTAGCCCTCCATGCTGCCAAGTTCCCATGCCCACGGTGACCTGGCAGTGACCTCTTGCAGAGGAGCCCGCGGCTGAAGCAGAGGGCATTTTGGGAATGCTCTCCAAGGTCTAGGGGAGTGTTCCCCTGGCGGGAAGAGCTCCTAGGTAGCCCCACCATGACCTCCCCAGGACCCACCTGTTCTAGGCTTCTCAGAGCTTGCCCAGGGACTGAGGCTATGGGATTGGGGCGCTGAGACCCCGGGGCAGGGTCCTCCTGGGCCAGGCTATGCAAGGGTGTGGTCGGAGAAGACCCGCCTCATCGCTGTGGTGGGGAGGGTGGCAGGGGGAGGCAGAGGGAGAAATTGGGGGACGATGTTTGGAAGCAACAGAAATGCTCTTTACAACGTTTACACAATCATCTGCGGGTGTGTAAGAGCATTGGCAATGCTCACGCCCGCGGGAAAGCAGGACGCTGGTGGAGGCTGCCTGCCCCTCCTGCCCCCAAGTGCTTCCTGCTCTTGACTTGCCCCGTGTGCGGCTGCTTCGATCCTGCGCCTCTCTTTGCTCCCTGCTTCTCCTTTACTAACACAGCCTGCTACATTTTACAAATGTGTTGGTAAGTGAGAAACAAAAATTGAAAAATAAATTAAAGTGAAGAAACCCATTGTCTCGTCTGTGTTTGCCCTGCTGGGTTTTGTGTCTGGCCACCATTTGATTTCTACGGAGCGTTGTCCTGGTTGCTGCAGAGCAAGGGACGGCTCATGAAGTCCCATGCTCAGCGCTCCTCATCCCACACGCTTCCTTCTAAGCTGAGTCCCTTGGCCTCAGAGCAGCGGATTCAGTATAACCTTGCTGGGAGGGATGGGGACCAGAGGGCAGACACTTGGGGTAGCCAGTTTTGGCATCTCCTAAGGACAAGCTTTAAATCAATTTAGAAGAGGCCCGTCTCCCTTCACTCTGCCTCTATTTACATTGTTTGTGTACGATAGTGATTTCCGCAGTCTTTCCAGTGACGGACCAGAGCCAATTCCCTGACTAACCATTCACTAAGGGGATGGGACGTCAGATCTTTCCACTAGGGCTCTTTCTCCTCCGAGGTGAAGGTCTGGGTCATCTCATCAGACGGTCCCCCTAGAGCAGCAGAGGTGTTGAAGGCAAGGGGGTCTGGAACATAAGCTAGGGCCTTAAACCCAACCGCAGCAGCAGGGGCGTTAGGTGATACCCTCAGGCCTCTGTCTTCCTCTGTGTTCTTCGCCAAGTAGAATCCGTGTGGGGTGTGAGTGGATCTGTGCAAGGCAAGGAGCGGCCTGGGCAGACATTGATCCTCTGCCCACCTGTCCTTGGGCGAATTCTTCTACAGCCGTGTGGGCTCCCGCCATCCTGGCTGGCTTCCTCCAGAGGCGCCCGTGGCTCTTCCATTGTCCACTGTCTCAGGGAAGGTGAAGTGGCCTTAAGCCAACTCTGAAGACTTGGGAAAGCCCAGCTCCCTGCCTCCCTTTGGGATGACTTTGGGGTACCACTTCCATTCCTGAGGAGCCCCAGGATGCGGTGGAAGCTTCCTTCCTTCTGTGGGGCTTTGCCTGAGACCTCTCCTTCCACCTGCCTCCTATGCCGCACGCCTGCCGCCACCAGCTTCCCCTGGCCCTTTCCTTGAGTGGCCGCTGGCACATACCTGCTCTTCTGCAGTCCGCCTCTGGGAACCGTAAGACAGGGGCTTGGTTGGGGAGGCTGTGTCTTGGGAAGAGCTTGCTCTGGGTGCAGGGCAGGCAGGCCCCAGGTGTTGACAGTTATCCCGGAAGAGCTCACAGCCCAGGAGGAGAGAGAGACACACCTAAATGGTCACACAATGGGATGAGCTGTGGGGGGACAGAGCAACAGGCTCCCTATGTGGGAGCCAAGTGACCTCACAGAAGTCTTGCTGGGTCATCAGGCATTTCCAAGGTGAGGCCTGGAGGCACTGAGGGGTGGGGGGGAGGTGGGCAGTGAGGGCGGAAGTCACACTGTGCAATGGATCTGACCCAGAGGTGGCCTGTTGTGATTAGGGACAGTGATTCTGGGGATGGCTGGGAGGTAGGTGCTACGGGAGACAGCTGGTGGAATGAAAGGGAGAGCTAGGGGACTCGATTTTGTGGAATCCATTGGCCCCAGACTCCCACATTCTTCCCATATAGCCCTGACTTCTCCCCAGAACTTTTCAGCATCTCTGTCACCTCTACTTGACTTCTCCATTCCAATAGGCATCTAAGTCCAGCCAAATATGGCCCCTGGAGGGCCCCATCAGTCAGGCGCTGTCCGCTGGGGGGCCTGCCCACCCCGATCCCTGCCCTCATCACCTGACTCTCCCCCACTTTGCTTTTGCCACCTAACCACAAGCCAGCCCTAGTCCCCAGTCCTTGCCACCACCCGCTCCTGCCCTTAGCAGCAGTCTGAGAAGCAGAGAAAAGAATAGGCATCCTCCTCGACGCCCCAGGGGGACAGGGGCCGTGGCACCTGAATCATCTCTCACCCCTGTACTTTTGCCAAGAACAAACATCAGGGGCAGATCCTTGCTGGGGGCCATGGGGCTCCCCACCCACCTGCCCTTCCCAGAATTCCTAGGGCCCCTGCCTGCTGCCCGCACCCCAGCATCCCCACAACCTGAGCCCCTGGGTGTGGAGCTAGGAGGCCACCCTCAGCTCATCCCCATTCCCAGCTCCCAGGGCTGTGTCCCAGACTTGGATTCCTGTGTCAGGAGTGGGGGGATCCCAGTTCCAGAGACACATGATATGTGCCAGGGCCCTGGGCTGTGTGTCGGGGAGGTAGGCTCCTCCTCTCCTCGGCTGTGGCAAGGGCTCCCCTCCACCTGCTACGTGTAATTTCAGCCATGTCTGGTGGTTCTTCGACTTGGATCAGTAGTTGCCACACTCACCTTACCTGTGCCCTCACTCCTTGTGGGAGACTCTGCTTTTCAGTGTTTCGATCCCTCTTCTGCCAATCTGTGCTGGCAGCCAGCTGGGCCTAAGTCGTATGTGTTGGGAGACATGAAAGGGAAATGCAGAGACATGACCGTTAAGAAAAGAAATTTCTTGGGGCACCTGGGTGGCTCCATCGGTGAAGCATCTGACTCTTGATTTAGGCTCAGGTCATGATCTCACGGTTTGTGAGATTGGGCCCCAACTCAGACTCTGCACTGACAGCATGGTGCCTGCTTGGGATTCTCTCTCCCTCCCTCCCTCTCTCTCTCTCTGTCCCTCCCCATTGTGCTGTCTCCCTCCTCCCTCTCTCTCAAAATAAATAAATGAACTTAAAACAAAAGAAATTTCTTAATGCCTGGGAATCTTTTAAAGGGGTCCAGACTCAAGGCTGGCATATCAGGTGAAAAAACACAATATGAATTAAAAAAAAAAAAAAAAAAAAAAACCTCACAAAATTACCAAGAATACAACTAGTCTTAATTTTTCATACAACGATCCTATCTGCAAGGGTTTGCAAAAGATAGGGAGCAGGTTGTTTTTGTGAGGGGGTCAGTAAAGAGCTCCACATCTCCTGCATTTTAGGAACTAGTGCGAGACGGAGGGACCTTGGTGTGAAATCCTTCCTGTCTCTTTGTGATGTGTCAGTCACAACAATAACAGTAGAACAGGGTGTCACTTTGCGTTCTTAGCAATTAGGTAAATCTCTCTTTGGGCTGACCCTTGGGCTGTATCTGTGCTACATCAGGAGCTGGAAGGAGAATTCTAAGCTCAGAAGTCTCTAAAATGGAAAACCTCCAGGGAATAAAATAAAATCCAATCTATAAAACAGAACGGAGCCTGATGCTTATTCTTGGTCTTCGCCTGGATTGAGTCAGGCATCTTTTACAAAATAGGGATGTTCCTCCAGGGAGGACTTGGGGATTGGAATTCCTGCCACCAGTTGTTATGTGACAACTTTCCTTGCCTGTAAGACGAGAGCCAGAGTGCCAGTGGTTCTGGGCTGTTGTGTGTCCAATGCAATAGGTGAGATAATATGTGTAAACGGGCTCAGCGCATGTTAGACCTCTGGAATATGTTGCACCTCAAGCAAGGAACATTTGGGGTGCCTGGGAGGCTCAGTCTGGCTGCAGCTCAGGTCATGATCTAATGGTTTGGGAGTTCAAGCCCCGCGTCAGACTCTGTACTGACAGCTAGGAGCCTGGAGCTTGTTTCAGATTCTGTGTCTCCCTCTCTCTCTGCCCCTCCCCCACTCATGCTCTGTCTCCCTCTCTCTCTCTCATGTGCATTCTCAAAAATAAATAAACATTAAAAATTTTTTAAAAATAAAGCAAGGAAGATTTGAATGCAAACTCTTTTCTCTGGTTGGACGTTCTCTGAGA